ACACTCATACACACTCACTCTCTCACACACACACATTCACACATACAATCACACAGACACACACATATACACTCACACACACATTCACAGAGTTGATAACAATATTCTTTTTTTTTTTAATTCTGAAAGTAAACAGCATTTCTCTGGAAATCCAAACACTTGCTTTAACTTTAAGCTCAAAATGTGAGAGAAGAGCCTTTCTCCCCACTCCCCAGTGCTGGGTGAATATAACCAACTCCTCTCTCTCTGCAACGCTGGCAGGCGGGGGTGGCCCTCCTCCCCTGTAAACAACCTGCACACCCATCTCACATTTCTTCTGTACACCACCTTCCTAAGGACAGAGATCTAACCATGACCTTTCACCTCTCTGTGGCCCCTTGCAGTACAAGGCGTGTGGATAACTCCAACACAAGGCTGGCCGTGCAGATGGAAAGAGACCCAGGTAAGCAATTTTCATACTCTCTTTAAACTTTGTGTTTCTTTTGTTAGACAGATAGATACCAAAGAAGGTATTAAGTACGGTCTGTGTGGCCATGGGAGAGTCAATGCATATCTCAGTAAATACAGTGACCACAGGGCAGAGCTGGGCAAGTAGCCCCATCAATTCCCCAGAGGGTTGCTTTAGAAATAAGCTGACTTGGTTAGTGACTGTTTCCCCTTACCCCATGAACACACTTTGAACTGTTTGTATAGGGCAGACTTCAAGCAGACTTTAAAGCTTAGAGCTGATCTCTATGGGAAATATCCTTTGAGCTGGGAATGATTACACATGCCCGTAAACCCCAGCATTCAGGAAACAGGTGCATGAGGGCCAGAAGCTCCAGACTAGCCTAGGTGGCATAGTGGGGCCTAGTCTATAAAAACAAACAAACAAAAACATGGCCCTGTATTGGCCTTTATAGTAACAAACCACTGTAGGACTGAGCATAAAGAACTCATCAGAAATTCTGGCCAACACGAAGCTGTGGAGACACTTGATAGTAATCCTTTGTCTTCTTTCTACTTTTAGCCATTTTTGTCTCTTCCTTCCTCCTACCAGAATGTCATTCTAAAATGTAATTTTATTTAAGGCGGACATGTGCGGAGGCCTCATCCTTGTCTCTAGAAAGAACAGTGTCCTGGGTCCATGCCGGTTATCCATGAAGATGCTCTGGTTGCTCCATGTAATTTGACAATGCCCTAAACTGAAGATGAATCCAGTGCCTCTAACTTGCCTCCCAACCCTGTTTTGTAGCACAATCCACCCCAGAATGTCACTTGTTCCCTCCTGGGGTCCGTGATCACGGGGCTGACATGAAGCTGGAGCTACCCAGTATCACCCAAGCACCAGACCTCAGGGCACCAGCTCCTGTAAAGATCAAACACAAAATCTGAAAAGCGACTACCAAATGCATCCCGTTCTCCCGTGTGTAAATCCAACACGAGAGTGAAACTGTCTTTATCAGGGCTATCTATACTGGGACTGCATAAGCACACTTAGCATAAAATCAGAGTTTAAAGTCTGGAAGCACTGGAGAGAGCCAGGCTTATTATTTGTGAGACTTTCTCTCAGGATGTAGGGGAAGGAGAGGAAGCAGGACAGTTGCTGGCATTCAGCCGTGGGATTCAGTGACACTGCAGGTTCATTACATTAGGGACATGGCCAAGCCTCAGAAACACATCCTGCATCCAGCTAACCTTAACTATACAGATGCATGAGCAGTGTGTACTAAGAATATGCCCTGAGTCCAATTTCTACTTTTACGTACTGTGTTTGAGTATAGATCAGTGTAAGAAGGCCTAATTCTCATTCAGGGCTCTCTTTTAAAAGTTCAGGGAACTGAAGGTTGCCTCTAATCAGCGTCTTCCCTGCCTGCCGATTCATCACAGACAGTAAATGTAGAACAGGCCGGCAGGCTGGTACATGGAGACACCTTATCAATTCCATCCGTCAATCATAAACAGCTTATCGACGTCTCAGCTTATCACTTCAGTTTCCAACTAGCTCCAGAGCTAGGTCAGGGACTCAGTATCTGATAGCTGCCCCCATGGGTCTCTTAGCACCAGCCTGGTCCTCCTTCCCATATTATGCTCAGGGACATCTTCTCCATGCTCAGGCCAGCCTCTGTTTCCCCCGGGTACAGAGTGAGACTGCGGCCTTAGTGGATGACCTCATAGAACCTGTCTCCTCTCTGGTAAATGATGCACAAGAAGTCTTGAGTTTTACTCCTAGGTCTTTCTTCAGGGAGACTCCATACCTGCCTGGCTTTTCAGGGTTTTCCTACTCTTGTAGTCAAAGTCTTGGAGTTTCTCTTTGGCCTTTCCAGTTCTTCTTTGACCTACCTAACTAACCACATACGAAAAGGAATCCCCAGCTTTTCCAGTGTTCCCTTGAAAAGCTTGTAGCCTTCACTTTGAGGCAGCCAGAGGGGGAGAGCTGCAGTCAGCCTGGAAGGAAACCATGAAAATGCAGAACATACCTCAGTTTACCCCTCCACACACAGCCCTGGCCTTCCACCAGGAGGTGAAGCATCCTGGTCCTGTCTCCTTCCAGCATCCTCTCATTTCCCTGGCTCTCAACACCCATCCAACTGAGTGTTGAATGTTAACCAATGAGCAGCCATTAACAGAATCTAACCCTGACTGCCATGTAGAAGCAACTCACTTAGTTCCTGCCGGGGAGATGCAAATGGACAGCCACTGTGGGTATGGCGGGCCCAGATCCAGGTTTTACTGAAGAAAAATGTAAAGTTGGTTTTGCTTTGTGATGGTTTTACTCATAACTACACAGTGAGACAGCCCCCCAATGTTCTTCTGTATACAAGGAAGCCAGGAAGCATTTGAGATGTACATGATAAGTGAAAAGGTAAGGTATAGGCTTAGAGCTTAAAAGTGTGTGTGTGTGTTTGTGAGTACATGTATGCACATGTGTGTGCATATGTGTCTACATGTGTGTATATGTACGTGTGTATACGTGCATTCACGTGTGTGCTTTGTGTTATGTATGTGCACATATGTGTGTGCACGTGTGCCTGGCACATGCATTGTGTGTGTGTGTGTGTGTGTGTGTGTGTGTGTGTGTATTGCCAAGTGGTATTCCTCAGGAGCCATCTGACTTGTTTTTTGAGTCAGGGTCTTTCACCTGCCTGGAACTAGCTCAATGAGCTAGGATATCTGGCCAGAGAGCCCTGAGATCACCTTCCTCTGTTTTCTTGGTGCTGGGATTACAAGTGCTTGTTACTACACTTGTCTTTTTAAAAACATACATCCTGTAGGACAAACATGGGTCCTCAATCTTGCACAGCAGGCACTGTCAGCCTCCAAGGTCAGAGTGTTGAGCGAAACACAGGATTGTGTAAGTCATTTGCATTTAGACAGTAATGTGTCTATCTAAAGGTTACACCAGGGTCTAGAGGGAAGGCATAGGAGGTCTCAGCATAACCCACCAAAACGGGTGGAAAACTGGTGCTTCTGCATCCGTAAAGACTCTGACCTCACTCAAAGGTCAGCGCACCGTTTCAGGGTCTGAGCATAAGATGAGCATACGATGGTGTACTTCTCATCCCACTCACCCTCAGGGAGTGATGACAACAACCTTAACTCCATCTTCTACGAGCACCTGACTCGAACCCTGCAGGAGTCTCTCTGTGGAGATCTGGTGCTCGGCCGCTGGGGCAACTACAGTTCCGGTGACTGCTTCATTTTGGCGTCAGACGACCTCAACGCCTTCGTCCATCTGATTGAAATCGGAAACGGTCTTGTCACTTTTCAGCTTCGGGGACTGGAGTTCCGAGGTAGGGGTTTCTTTGTGTCTTTGACTTAGCGGGTTGGGTTAAACGTCATGCAGAGAGCACTGCTTAGAAGCCTCCTTCAGGGGTGGGGAGATGGCTCAGTCGCTAAAAGCATGTACTATTCTTGCAGAGGACCAGAGTTCTATTTCAAGTACACAGATTGTGAGGCTCACAACCACTTGATTCAAGTTACAGAAGATCTGCTGTTGCTTGGCATTCGTGGGCCCCAGAACTCTCGTGTGCATACATACATACACACAAATAAAAATAAAGTAAATCTCTTAAGAGAAGCCATGAGCAAAAGACCTGGGGACTGTTCTGCTAAGTGGCAATTAAGCCTGACTCTACTCTTGACCAGGCTTTCTGACAGAAGCACATCCCACCAGATAGAGAAACAATGACACCTTCTGATCTACCCTCTGCTCTCTCATCCACCCAGAGGGGAGCATCCTCACCACTGTGGTCCAGAGCCATCCCCACTGATATGCCTTCTCCACCCTGGTGGACTGTATCCTCTCAAACCAAGAGCCCCAGTAAGCCTCTCCTCTCTTAAGTTAAGTTAGCCAAGTTATTTTACCACAGCAATGAGAAAAGTAATTAATGAAGAGAGTCATTCCAATGGCAGTTCAGAGTCAAGTGGAAGGAAAAATAACCACATCACGTGTCCCTGTGTTATGGTGGCAGAGAGGCATGGTTTACTGAGGGACAGTGTCACCACAACATGCTAGATTCTTGGAACCTCACAAGGTAAAATTTAGAAGGGGGTTCCTGCTGGGCGGTGGTGGCACATGCCTTTAATCCCAATATTCAAGAAGCAGAAGCAGACAGATCTCTAGGTTTGAGGTCTGCCTGGTCTACAGAGTGAGTTTCAGAACAGGGCTACACAGAAAAAAAAAGGAGGAAAGGGGGAAAATAAGGAGGTTCCTACATGACCAACGTTGGGCCTATATAAGTAATCTCTTGGGAGTTTTCTTTGGTTTATTGCTTTCTCTTTTTCCAGTCAGCCACAGTGGGAGTCCCACTTGTCTGTAAGATCAGTGCAGTAGCACTGTCTTCAGGGGAAAATGGCAGCTGACTTGCCTGGATCCCACACCTTCCCCTACGGTAGATTTTCTTTGACCTAGTTAGATTGTAGTTTTAAACACAGAGACTCAAAACCCCATAGCTTAACAAAATTGAAGTTCTGAGGAAGAACCCAGTTGACCCTTAAGGACTGCTGTTGGATTTGTTTCTCATTGCCGCACATATCCAGTATTCCCACGGAGGGCCAGCTTCCTCCTTGAGGATGTTCTGGATTTCTTCTCCCTCATTCTACTTTGCTTCTGAATTCCCAGTTTTCTGAAAGATTAGGTTTTATTTTGGTTAAATTTAATCTACTTTGACACTGCCTGGGGCAGTCAAAGAAAGCACACATTGATGGAGTCTCTCTGTCTTTCTCTGTCTCTCTCTCTCTTTCTCTCTCTCTCTGAAAAATCTACTGAGGAAGCTAGTAGAAGGAATGGCAGCTGTTTGCACATTCACAGCTGATTACTCCTCCTCCTCCCCCTCCCCTTCCTCCTTCCTCAAGTCTCTCTCTCTTCCTCTCCTTCCTTCCTTCCTTCTCTGCCTCCCTCCCTCTCATACCAGGGATCAAACTCAGAACTGCATGGACGCCAGGCAAGTGCTGCACCACTGGGCTGTAGTTTCTTAGGAAGAAAGAAATCTACTAGAGAAGGAAGCCAGCAACCTGGGGTCATGAGAAAGTGTTTCTGTCTCCCCCCTCCTAAACATCAGCCCCCTGAAGAGAAGTATCATGTTAACAGGAGGTCCTAGTGTCAAGCTACAGAAATCAACCCAGGTTAACACAAGAGAAGAAGGCTTTATGGGAAAATGCATCCAGGAATAAAGATTTCTGAGCAGCATGGAGCAGGTGTCCTGTGGTTTTGGGCGAGTTCAACATCTGAAGTCACACAGCAGGGAGCTGGAGAGTGCTCAGTGGTTAGTGCACTTGGCACTGTTCCCAAAAACTTGATTTCAGTTCTCAGCTCCAGGTCTGCTGCCCTGTTCTCTCTTCTGTGAGCATTTACATACACAGGACATGTGTACACACGGCACATACACACACACATACAAACACGCATACACATACACTCACACACGTGCACACTTAAATAAATTTTAAAGTCACATGGCAGCTGCAAAGACCCAGGGCTGCCCCCACTTTGCTGAAACACTGGATGCTGCTGTCCCCAGAGAGAAGATAAATAACCTCTACCACCTTCTCTCCTCCTGAGTGTTCCCCTGTTGGGAACTGTCAAGGGACTTTCTGTCTTGCTGTGCTATCAGCTTAGTCAGAGTCTGGGTCAAGTGCACCAGATCACCAAAGTCACGGTCACATACAAGTGATCTGGGTCAAAGGGTATCTGGCTTCTCATTTCTTATCGTGGGAGATGATCACTGAGATTTCCATGGTGGGTATATCAGTTGGAGGAAGGCCGGCAGCTCTAGCAATATGGCTGAGCCCTACATCCACGGCACAAAGCACTTTCACTTTGCAGATGTGGAGGTTGACCAGAGTAGCGTTGGCAGGACACAGAATGGCTCCATTTAATACCACCGACAGTCACAGCCCATGTGTACTTTGTGCGCTGCCTTCAAGGGTCAGTGTGGTGTCTGACAGAATGTGTAGGGGAACAGGGAAGATCATTCCAGGCCAGGTCTTTGCATGGAACGGGCCATTTCACTCCATGTCTTATGGTCCCTATTAGAGGTGATGTGAAACCGCAAGCCATGGAAATAGACAGTGCACGTGAGAGAGCCAACAGGGCAGTGGCCCTGCAAAGCTATTGGCTAGATGCTGCCTAATGAAGCTAAAGAACCAATAGACAGGCCTCAGACAGTTCTGAAGGCTGAAGAGCCAATAGACAGGCTTCAGACAGTTCTAAAGGTGAGGGGGCGGAGCAAACAGGCCATTGAAGAACCAATAGACAGACTTCAGACAATTCTGAAGGCTAAAGAGCCAATAGACACACTTCAGAAAGTTCTGAAGGTGAGGGGGCGGAGCAAAGAGCCAGGGCATTGGATTTGTCTTTACAAGATGGCTGTGCACTTGGGGTTCAAGAGAGCACCTTGAAAGTGACAGCTAACCCCAGGAGATGCATCATCCTCCCTCCCAAGGGAGATGAAGAAGCGACCTGAGTTCACAGCCAGCTCAGAGTGCAGTGGGCAACCATGTGACTCTCCGTCCGGACGCTGCCTGTGGGGTACTTGCTTCACTACCGCAGTATTGACTTGGTTCACAGACACTAGTTAATTGGGGTCTTATCCCTCCGGTTCCCCAGCAGATGTGAACATGGAAGGCAAGATTGGGGATAACCAAGGGAAAAGCACGCCGAGGACCGGAAGCTCCAAGTCCTTGCATGTTCAAGGGTGTGACAGTGATTTCAGTGCTTGGCCAGGCTAAGAAAGGAGCAAAGCAAACAAATGGAGGAAGAGAAAGCAGGATCCCAGGACAGCACCGAGGAGCTGTGAGCCCAGAAAGGGGCAGTAGCCACTAGGGTTGAAGTACTAGAGGAGACGAAGTGGCCACTGGAGGCGGAGTGCTCTAGGCTGCTACTGAGAGGGAGGGAAGTTTTGATAAACACATCTAGGGTTGTTACTATCAATATAGAGGGAGGGTGGCAGAAGAAGAGATAAAGTGAGGGAGGGAAGGAAATAAAAATGGAAAAGGGAGGAGAGAAAGAGAGGTGGGAAAGGGATGGTGGAAGGGGAGGAGAGGAAGGAAAGGAAAAAGGAAGAAGAGAGGAAATAGAAGGGAGAGGAGAGAAGGAAAGAAGGAAGGAGGGGAGGAGGGAGAGAAGAAGAGGGAGGGGAAGGAAGACAGAAGAGGAGGGAGGGGAGGAGGGAGGAAAAGGAAGACAGAAGAGGAGGAAAGGGAGTGGAGAGGAGGGAAGAAGGGAAGGAGGGAGAAGAGAGAAGGAGGGAGGGAAGGGAGTAGAGAGAGGAAGAGGAGGGAAGGGAGGATAGAAGAGAAGAAGGAAGGAGGGGAGAATGGAGAGGATAGAGAAAGAGGAGGGAGGGGAGGAGGGAGGTTAAATAAAGACTGAAGTAAGAAATGCCTAAACATTTTTAAAGTCTATTTGTTGTTAAAATTTTAAGTCTCGTTTTCTCAGAATCCTTCAAATTTTATTGTGGTCACACCCTGCAGGCCATTCTATCAGCTCAGTGTCCTGGTGAGCCTCACAGAAGGGACACCGAAGGTACAGTAGGGGTGTAGCCACCCATTCCCATTGGAGCTAGAAAACAACCAAAAGCAAGATTTACGCTCCTGTCTGTGGGAGATGTTATCAGCCTTCTCACGGGGTTGGCTGACCTCATAATCACTGGGCCGTGGGGACGTGTGAAAATAACCCTGTAGCCTGATCTCATCCAAAGCAGAACCAACTCAAAGCTTTATCTTAACTGGACATCCACATACAGCCCTCCCACTAATATTAAAACTCTCTAGAATTCTCTAAGTCTTGGCAGCAGTCGGCCATGGCTTTATGTTTTATGTCTAGATAGCTTGAGGGATCTGCTAACTCGCTGGGTTCCAGGCTTTATCCATAAAACAGAATGCTGTCTCCAGTGGATGCTCGCACACACACTTTCCTTCCTTTCTAAGTAGAGAAGCCCAAGGCTTGTCAGTGTGTATGGCAGGTCTAGGTAGACAGAGTATGTTTCATGGCACTAGCAGAGTCTCCAACACCTTAGCGTCCTGCACTAGGGAAAGCCCTGTGAGGAGGGGACAGTTTTGAATGACTCGTGAACTAGGAAGGCCTCCTCCTCAGAGTCCAGCTGGTTCTGCTGTTCTTCCCACCTATAAGTGGAGCAAAAGTAGGGAGGTCTTACTCCCAGCAATGATTAAAGATTTCATGCATTTCAGCATTGCTTTGTGGTCATGTGTTCCAGGGCAGGAATCTGGTCGGGAATAGATTTAAATGCCTACAGTTCTCAATTATGAGAATTGCTGGTGTTCCTGAATCTGCTCGACCTGACCAAGTTTTCTGTTTGGTGGCACGGACCACTGCCCCACACAGACTTTTCTATCCTAAGGGATCTGTGGCTTTGAGGAGCTGTGGTGTATATTTAGAACAAGGGGCTCTCATCTCTCTCACCTACATGACTAGGTGGGCCTGTGCATCCCATGAGACACCCAAACATCACCTTTCTAAGTTGATAACAGCCACTTAAACGGATGTCGTCCAGAAACAAAATTTCATCCTGGAAAAAAAAAAAAACCAGTGGTGGTCATTTAAAGGCACCACATCATGTTTAAAATCTAGTTTGTCCAGCACCACACCAGGAAAATCTTGTTCTTAGGGCCGATTCTAAATGCTAAGCAAATTTCTGCAGACTCTACAGAATACAAAAAAAAAAGTTATTAAAAAAAACTTTCTGTTGTGCTCAGAAAGCAAACATTATAAATCACTCTGACATACTTAACGTACTTTTGTGTTTTCAGCCCCCCTGCACACTGGGTCAGCGTTCCTCAAGTCTCTCAAGGTCATTGCTTAGAGATGGCTGATCCAGGGTTGCTCAAGAGTCAGCCTAGGAAGTGCAGGAGAAACTGTTCATGAAAGCAAGACAGTATGGAGCCTAGGGGTAGGAGCTAGCGAGGCAGCGGGGGCCCTGGCTTTGGCTGTGCTGAGAGAGACCAGAGATCACATCCAGACACTGCCGACATCACTAAGATCACTGAGCACAGCCATACGGGTCCTGGTATCAAACAAGGTTGTTAGGATTAGTAGTCAAAGCCTTTACCCACTGAGTACCAAGAAGCCATCTAGACTTTATCAGGTAAAATTAACACTCTTTATAACCACATTCAAATCAATACTAGCCCATATCTTTTTATCTACTTTATGGGTATTTTTTGTTGTTTTTGTTTTGTTTGGTTTGAACTGGGGTCTGATGCAGCTCAGACTGGCTCCAAATCCACCATGTAGCTGAGGAAGGCCTTGAACTCTTGGTGCCTTCACTCTTCAACTATTCAACTGCCTTCATCTTCCAACTGCCGGATTGCAAGCATGTTCCAACACATCTGTTTTTATGTTATCCAGTACCAGGGCTGAAGCCCAGGCCCTTGCGTGCTGGGTGAGCACTCTGCCCACTGAGCTATAGCCTCAGACCCTCATTGCCTTTTTACTGAAAAAGGTTTAGAAAGCCCAAATTGGATCATTTAGATTAGTGTCAATTTTTCTAGTGTTTTTTTTGTGTAGGGTCTGGGCTGAAGCTGCACTTCTCTTCTATACTGACACCCCACCATGGGTCTGTGTACTCCGTGACACCAGCCAAGGTCTCTAACCTCAGGTTGTCACACCAAAGACACAGGTGCAAAATGTATGACCAAAACTGTATGTATACCAAAACAAAAACATGGAGAATAGAGGAAAGTCAGAATGATTGTGAACGGATAAAAAACCCAGTGCAGTGCACACACCTGAGGCAGAGCCAGCATAGCTCACTTGGTGAGCTTCAGGCCTGTATCACAAAACAAAGTTAATGTCTTGCCTACCTACCTACTTACCTACCTACCTACCTGCAGAGACACAGATACTCTCCTCTCTTTCTCTCTCTCTCTCTCTCTCTCTCTCTCTCTCTCTCTCTCTCTCTCCCTCTCTCTCTCTCTCTCTCTCTCTCTCACACACACACACACACACACACAAACACACACATAGACAGATAAACAGACAGACAGACAGACACACACAGAGAATGTATGCACATGCTTGCACATAGGCACACATCAGAAGAGTTGATGGTTATAAGAATCATGGCTCTATGGTAGGCCTGCTTTAAACTAAGAACAAACACCTGATTCTAGCACCTTAAAGCGATACCTCATGGGTCTAGACAGATGGCTCAGTGGCTAAGAGCACTCACTGGCTGCTCTTCCAGAGGACCTGGGTTCAATTCCTAACACACACGGCAGTTCATAACCGTCTGTAACTCCAGTTCCAGACCATCGGATGCCCTCTTCTGATCTCTCTGTGATATAAAGTCTATTGTGTCCTTGGCCAGGAACCTATTGCCAGCAGAGGGAAGTGGAGGCGATCATGGAGGGTGATGAGGATGACAGAGGCTGCTGCTGCTGCAAACCCGGCCACCTGCCACACCTGCTGTCCTGCAATGCTGCCTTCCACCTACGCTGGCTCACCTGGGAGATCACGCGCACGCAGTACATCCTCGAGGGCTATAGCATCATCGACAACAACGCAGCCACCATGCTGCAGGTGTTTGACCTCCGCAGGGTGCTCATCCGCTACTACGTCAAGGTGTGATGTGTTTCCCAGAGCTATGGATGGAGGATGAGAGAGAGACAGGGCTCCTGAACAGCTCCACACAAACTGGCACATGGAGGTTCCTCCCCAGCTTCCCAATGAGAGATGCAGCCAGGCTTAGGGACCTTGCCTTTATTGAAAATCCCAGCAGGGCTTTGTGTTAGCCTGACCCTGGACAACCTTGACTATCTCTCCATTTCAACCACAGCAGGGGTGTGACTGTCATGATGGGCAAATTAAAGATCCAGGAAGCACCAGCAGGCCCTGTGTTGGAATTACACAGCCTCATTAGATGCTGGGCAAATGGTCCAGCTTAGAACCAGCATTTTGAGTTGGAGATTTAGCTCAGTTGGCAGAGTGCTTGCCTAGCATGCACAGAATCCTGGGTTCAAACACCAGCACTGCATAAAACCAGATGTTGTGGTACACATCTGTAGGGTCAACACTCAGGAGGTGGAGGAAGGAGGATCAGAAGGTCAAGGTCGTCTTTGGCTTCACTGAGAGTTCCAGGCTGGGCTACAAGAAACCCTGTCAACAAATACTCAATCCAAAGATTAGGAAGTACAGTGGTTTAAAGTCTTTGTGATGGACCCATCCTGGGAAAGGTTGTAGATGGTGACAGGCCTGTTGTGGGGTCCACAATTCTATGCTGTCCTGTGGAGGGGTCTCTGCACTCCCCAGGGCCAAAAGCGTTGTTGTATGTAAGGCAAGAAGACAATCAGGTTCACCACAGCTCAGTAGCTGGTGTTGGTTCAAACTTCCAGAGGCTGGCCCAGGGTAGTTTATATGGCCATGATCAAGCACAGCACAATTTGGGGGAGGGGGGGGGACAGTTTTCTGATGATATTGAACTCAGTCCTTTGTATACAACAAAGTTTGAGACGTGATTACATATTGAATCTCTTTTCAAGTACATATGACCTCTTCTGTAAAGAAGGGTTCTGTTGACTGAAAAACAATGCTCAAGATAAGGTCTTGGAAGAAAGAATCTGAGATAAGAGTCTGGGACGACCTGGGTAGCCTGGCCCTGCAGATATCACAGAGGTCACCAGGCTATCAACTGCATCCGTTCCCAGCCGTCTGGGCAGAAAACAGGTTATACATCTCTTCTTTTGAAGAGACAACCCTGAGTGTTTAACATTCCTGGTTTCCCTAGTGATGATCTGTGATTGCACAGACCTCGTGCCCTGTACCGTGTCCCAAGAGCCAAAAGGGACCAACCCATTAGAGGCCCCAGACCCCTCGTAGCCAAAGCCGTCTTTGATAGAGACAGTGATGTCATTTCTTAGCCTCTGAGGCATCTTTCTAGCCCCTTCATACTAAGTCGTAATAAATCAAAAAAAAAAAAAAAACAAAAACAAAAAACAACTAAAGTCTTCCTGGTTGTGGACTGGCTACGGAATCTCACAATCTTGTTTGCTTTCTGCAGAGCATAATATACTACATGGTCACTTCCCCCAAACTCGTCTCGTGGGTCAAGAATGAATCCCTGCTGAAGTCCCTGCAGCCCTTTGCCAAGTGGCATCACATCGAGCGGGACCTCACCATGTTTAACATCAACATCGATGATGACTACGTCCCGTGTCTCCAGGGGATCACCCGGGCGAGTTACTGCAATGTGTTCCTGGAGTGGATTCAGTACTGCGCAGGGAAAAGACAGGAGGTAGGGAGGGGGGCTGGGGCTGAGGGACCAAGTGCAAGCCAAGAAAGCGAGGGTCCTAATGTCCTCTCTCCTCCTGCACTCCAAGGTAGACAGTAAAAATAAATAAATAAATAAATAGAGGTGAGGGGAAAATCATGTTTCAAATAAATGTTTAGTACTGAAGCAAATAAATGTTTAGTACATGATTAGGAAATATGTTTCGTCTTCAATGACAGAGCTTCAAAGGTATCTGTCTGCTTTAAACTATGCTCAGGGTCTGCCCTAGTTAGGGTTCTACTGCTGTGAACAGACACCATGACCAAGGCAACTCTTAAAAGGGCAACATTTAATTGGGGCTGGCTTACAGGTTCAGAGGTTCAGTCCGTTATCATCAAGGCGGGAACAAGGCAGCATCCAGGCAGGCATGGTGCAGCAGGAGCTGAGAGTTCTACGTCTTCATCTGAAGGCTGCTAGTAGAAGACTGACTTCCAGGCAGCTAGGATGAGGGTCTTAAATCCCACACCCACAGTGACACACCTACTCCAACAAGGCCACACCCACTTTAACAGGGCCACACCTCCTACCAGTGCCGCCCCCTGGGCAGAGCATATACAAACCATCACAGGGTCACTATAATTTAAGTCTGTAGTGTAGCAGACTAGAAACTTCCTCATTTAAAATTGCATCATGGTGTTGGGGGGGGCAGTAACCCACATCGGTAACCCTAGTAGTAGTGAGGTAAGCAGGGACAGGTGGAATGTTGGGGACACATTTGCCACCACCCCAGCACCAGTGAAACACCTCATCTCAAGAGAATCATGTAGAGAACATGCCTTTGGGTGGACACACACATACACACACACACACACACACACACACACACACACACACATGCACATACACATTAATTAATTAATTAATTAATTAATTAATTAAATTTGCATTTGGAAGACTCAGTGGCAGAGGGATTGCCTGACATGTACAAGATCCTGGATTTAATGCCCAGCACCACCAACAAAACATAATTATTAATTTTGTGTTATAATTTAATTATATTCGGTGCCTATGCATGTGTGTATGCATGCGGAGGTCTGAGGTCCATGCTGGGTGTCTTTCTCAGTCACTCCCCACCTTATTTTCTGAGGCAGGGTTTCTCTGAGCCTGGAAATCACGAGTTTGTAAAGCCTGAGTAGCCAGCAAGCTGCAGGAATCCTCGCCCCGACTTTCCCAGATTCTGAGATCTGGGATTACAGAAGTAGGCCACCAAGTTTTTCCAGACAGGCTTGGGATCTGAACTCAAGTCTTTATGGTTGAGGAACAAGCACTTCAGTGCCTGAAAATATAATTTTTTTAAAAAAAATTATACTTTGAGTCAGACGTGGTAGCTTATGTCTATAATCTTAGTAGTGGGGAGCTGAGACAGAAGACCTTCTAGTAGGTCATCCTAGGGTACACAGTGAGTTCCAGTCAAGCCTGGGCTACATAGTCAGCCATTGTCTCAAAACTGGCTTTTTTTTTTTTAAATTTGATCTTGCCCCATGACATAGTTCTTTGCTGGTGTCAGGAAGATTGAACATATTGACTCATAGACGTGCTGTCTGTCAGCGATCAGATGGCCTCTGATCAGCGATCAGATGGCCCGGGCTGTTCCCATAATGGTGCAGTGGCCATGGGCTGAGTGCATGCCCGAAGGTGAGCTTGCCTCCTCAGATGAAGCCGAGAGTAATGGTTGCTCACAGACAGAAGTGACAGCGGGAATCACGGGATGGATGTCCATCCTCTTTGCCTGCTGAAGGCTGAGCCCATGAATAATGGCATAGGAACGAGGCTTAAAGCCACAACCTCAGCAGCTGATAACGTTCATAGAGTGTGGAGAAGATACCAAACCATGGCACTAACTTCTTGAAGACAGGGAAGCCAGTGTCAGCCTAGGGATATGGTAGCTGAAGAAAAAGAAAAGGAATCTTGGATGTGTCTCCTTTACCCTATACCATCCCACTTGTAAGCAGAATATATATATGTGTGTATTTATATATTACGTGACCTAACCCTGTCATAATATGAATTCCCAGAGCATTTTCTCATCAGATCTAACCTTTACCAACTTGTTCCTGGAAAGCACCTGTTGTTGTTTGAATGTGAGGTGTCTCCCCACAGGCTCGTATGCTTGAACTTAGTCCTCTGATGGTGGTACAGTTGCCAAGTTGTAGAATCTTGAAACAAGGGAGCCTGATTAGGCTGAGTGGATCAGTGGGGGCAGGATGTCTTAATCACTGTTCTATTGCTATGAAGAGACACCATGACCAAAGCAACTCTTATTTTTTAAAAAAAATCATTTAATTGGGGACTTGCTTACAGTGTGGTGGCAGTACACAGGCAGACGTGGTGCTAGAAAGGTAGCTGAGACTTCTGCATCCTGCTCCATAGACAGACAGAGAAACCAGGCCTAGCATGGGCTTTTAAACCTCAAAGTCACCCTCAAATAATGGTCTCCAATAAGGTCATAGCTACTGCCGCAAGACCATACCTCCCAGTCCTTCCTCAAAACTGCCATTCCCATGTGGCTAACCATTCACATATGTGAGCCTGTGGGGGCCATTCTTATTCACACCACCACACAGGCTTTAAGGCCTCATAGCCCAGACCTACATCCTGTCCAACTTCTGCCTCCTGACTGTGCACACACATGACCAGTCACCGTCCCTCTCCTGCTCCCATGTCTCCCCTGCCATGATAACTGTGTCTCTTCTGTGGGCCAGAAAACCCCTTTCGTCCTTAACTATGTCTTGTCAGGAATTTCACAAAATCAATGAGAAAACTTCCTAATGCAGCATCTCCCCTCCCCGCCCCCATGCCCAACCATAAGAGAAACTTCTGTGGACAGCGCTGGTGGCTCCCCACTCTGGGGTCACTTCAGAGACACCGGTTGGCCACAGCGTCCCCGTGGAAGTCTGCTTCTGTCACATATGTGAGAGCCAGGGTGATAGCTGCCTTCCCATTCCTGTTCTTTCAGCTCTCCAAGACCCTGGAGCATGTCGACAGTGACGAAGACTCAGCTCTGGTGACACTTTCCTTTGCCTTGTGCATCCTGGGAAGGCGAGCTTTGGGAACAGCAGCACATAACATGGCCATGAGGTACTCCTGGAAGATAGCTAAGATGTCTTGGGCTTGTGCATGTGCCTGGGGTTTATGTCTGGTGGATTCTGTCCGTCGATTTCAGTATTCCAAACCCGGCCTGCTTGCAAGTCTTTCCCCGTGCATCAGATTGGGACGGCTGCAAAATGTTTCTTGTCATCGTAAACTTTAGACTGTTTCCGTTTGGAAATATTAATACGGGCAGTTAGAACTCGGGGCTTCCAGGTCTCAGACCTTTCAGGTTGAAAAGGTTGGGCTGAGAAGGTAGGCAAAAGTATGCCCGAAGCCCTGGGTTCAATCCCTAGCACCACCTATGCCATGCATGGTGACACACACTTGCAGTTCCTGCACTTTGGAGGTAGAGACAGGAAGATCAGAAGTTCAAGGTCATCCTCTGATACATAGTGAGTTCAAGGACAGCCTGAGCTATATGAGACCCTGTCTTCAAATAAACTGGTTCTGAACCTGCCTATGGATTTTGGCCCAGTGCCTGGCAAAGTTGATGCTTGTGAAACATTCATCCCATCACAGTGACGGCTTCTTTTCCCTCTGTCCCCTGAGCAGATCTGTCACAGACAAGCTCTATTCGGCCCTGCTGTCCTCGCTTTTCCAGCTAAGATGATCTCGCTAGTGACATCCATCCCCTTAGACACTGGGCATCAGTGGTTACTGTGTGGCTTCATCTTTGGTTTATCTGGGGGTGGGAGGGGCTTGGGGTCGTGGTGTGCAAGCTCCTGGCTTAGGGAATTAAAAGCAGGTTACCAGCTGAAGTCAGAATCTTGGTCCGGGAGGGAGCATTTGAGTTTAACAGACAGGAGGAAGTTGGGGCTGCAGGTAGAGTTCATGGTTGCGTACTCACCTAGAATATATGAGAAGCGAGGTTGGATTCCCAGCACTGGGGGAAAATAAGGGGGAAGGAGGGAAAGACTCAGCTAGTCCTGAGTGTCTGTCACTCCCTCCCCATGCTTAGCATCTGTGACATCTTGTCCTGTGTGGGGCTGCGGTGCTAGAAGCTGCCTGGGCATTGACTCTGTAGTGGCTCTTGTGTCAGTATGATCTGAGCTCAGGAATGCTGTGCCCTTTGGAATGACACCAAGTCCTCTCTTGCCCAAATGGATCCTTTCATGATGTGAAGGACATGGTAGGACTGGTCAGACAGGAAGGAGAACAAGGTAGTAACAAGAAGGGGAGGAGTCAGAGCCAGATCTAGTTCCTTCCTGTTGTCCCTGCCTGGACACAGCTACTGTCTGTCTGCTGATTCTCCACGAGCACTCTGGCTCCATGGTGACATGGCCCGTCTCACCTACCTCACTGGCGGCTGGCGAGTAGGGCTTAGTCTCCTGGAAAGAAAACCCTGCTTATGCTGTGCGCCGCGCTCTCACTGCAGTGACAGCCCGGATCCAGTGTGTCTCTTCTCAGTCCAGTCAAAGTGTGTGTGTCTTCAGGTGCACATGTGTGTGCCGATGTGTGCGGAAGCCAGGGCACAACCTTGGCTGTCACTCTTCAGGCACCATCTGCCTTTGTTGTAGACACAACTTCTTTCAGTGGCTTGGACCTCTCCCTGTGGGCTTGACTAGCTGCCCAGTGAGCCACAGGACACCTATCTCTACCTCCAAGCCCGGAGATTCTAGCTGCCCACGATCGCATGGGCCTCTCGGTGGAAGCTTAAAAGGACACAGCTCCAAACCCAAATTCACTTCGGATGTTCTAGAGCTTTCCACTCTCCTTGCTCCCCACCCCGCCCTGCTATGCTCCAGCCAGCTCGCTGGATACCTCGTCTTCTTTATTCCCTCCCTCCACGGGAAAAGGAGAGTTATGAAACACCTCCTATTAGAACTCTGCAATGTGCAGGGTCAAAGGGTGATTTCCCAGGATGAGGGGATTTGAGCTTGGGCTCTGGTTCATGGGGAGAGCCATTTTAATGAAACAGCTCTAAGCACAGCAGTGTGACATTGTCTCAGACAAGAGAGTTGATAACTGAAGTATATAGAGACTGTTGAGGCCTCGGGTGAAGCATGGATGTCTTAGTAAGGTGCAGGAGGGAGCAGTGGCCTGCAGCTGTATCTCTGGCTGTTGCTTGGGGGGACCTGGGTGAATCCTCAAGTCTTTCTTTGTACTATCTCTCCAGTCCCACATCTAAAAGGAGGTTTTCTGTCTACACTGAGTGTACAGTGTGGACTCTAAGCCCTTCCTGCATCCACCCTGCCCATGACTTTAGCTCCTCATCTCCACTTTTATGATTAGTTGCCTTCCGGACCACAGAGGCAGCCCCAGATGTTTCCTGGGGAACAGATGGCAGGTGTCACTCAGTTACAGCAGCCTCAGCCTATGGCACCAGCCTTCATGCAGTTCCACTGTGCTGCACAACTAGCTGTGTCACAGCTAGAATCTCTGAGCTTGGAGGTAGAGATAGGTGTCCTGTGGCTCACTGGGGGAGGCCCAAGCCACCAAAAGAAGCTGTGTCTACAACAAAGGCAGATGGTGCCTGAAGAGTGGCAGCCAAGGTTGTGCCTGTTTGCCCCACCCCTGCATCTCATGATAACGAGTAGTATAGAAACTAAGATGGAGGAGAGGAAGACCACCCTTCCTATCCCCCAAATACAGGACATATGACTTTCCTGATCCCCTTCATCGTGTTCACTCAGAAAAGGCTCCAGGCCCTGAGTGACTTCCCCTATGTGATATCCTGTTCTCCATTCCGCTCTGTGAGCAGATGGCCGTTTGGAAAACCTAGACATATGAAAACTTTAAGCTTGACCCTCACCACCCTGTCTCTCTCCTAGTCATGATAATAAAGGGGACAATGGGGAGAGTTATGTTCTGAGAACCCAAGTCCGTGCTTGGTGACATCTGATTATTTTTCATTCTTTCTATATTCTGGTAGAATCCAATTTCTACTACTGTTAACACAGCCCTGAAATCTCAAGAAGAGAAGTCCCTGGTGAGGTGTGTGTGTGTGTGTGTGTGTGTGTGTGTGTGTGTGTGTGTGTGTCAGAGCCAGAGCCAGAGCCAGTGTGGTTGGGGAGGGTGAGCCTGCTGCCCTGGTTTTCTGGTGTAGGGGTTTGGCCTGTTCCAAGCTATGTCTCAGATTCACACACAGAAATCATGTCAGTGGTTCCTAAGGTGATCGGAGACAGCCTTACATTAAGGCTCAACTGAGCCTTCTCCTCAGCCCCAGAGGGTAATTCCTAAACCAGGAAATGTAGAGGCCGGTGGGAGTGAAAGGGTCATGAACTGTGCACAGTCAGCCCACAGCACTGTGACTGTGTCTTACAACCTGTGAGCCCACAGCACTGTGACTGTGTCTTACAGCCTGGACTCCTTCCTCTACGGCCTGCACGCCCTCTTCAAGGGTGACTTCCGGGTCACGGCTCGAGATGAGTGGGTGTTTGCTGACATGGACCTGCTGCACAAAGTTGTTGTTCCTGCCATCCGGATGTCCCTGAAACTGCACCAGGTAAAGAGCCACTTCTGAAAAAAAACAATTAATCTGAAACTGGAAAGAGTCTACCCCATTACGCTACTCCCTGCCCTCCATAAGGTGAGGAACCTCCTCCTCCATCCTCCTCCCTGGGGTGCTCTGCCTCCTCACTGGCCTAGACTCTGATTCAGCCAAGGAGTGTGGCATGAATCCTCTAAAGCCGTAAACTGAAATAGAGAACTCCTCCCTTTAGGTTGTTTGTGTCCAGTGAGGAGAAGGGTAAATAATGAAGCCGGGGAGATGCCTCGGTCAATAATGTGCTTGCTGGGCAACCATGAAGGATCTGAGTTTGAACCATAGAACCCAGGTAGAAAACCTAGGTGCGGACGCCAAGACAAGAGGCTCTTTAGGGGTCACTGAGAAGCCAGTCTAGCCAAACTAGTAACCTTTAAGATCAATGAAAGACCTGATTTTAAAACAACAACAAAATGTGGACAGGCAGCAAAGGGAGACATGCCCTCTGGTCTCTACGTGTAGTTACACACAGGGAAGGATAAAGTCAACAACACAGCCTTCATCTCTTTCTGGTGTGTATTACATACTCAAACAATAATTAAAAGGATGAATTATTCTAGGCCAGCCTTGGCAACAGAATGTGATCTTGTCTAAAAAAAAAAAATGAATTAATAAAAATATAGTCTTTGGCCAGGCGGTGGTGGCACATGCCTTTAATCCCAGCACTTGGGAGGCAGAGGCAGGCGGATTTCTGAGTTTGAGGCCAGCCTGGTCTACAGAGTGAGTTCCAGGACAGCCAGGGCTACACAGAGAAACCCTGTCTCGAAAAAAAAATACCAAAAAATATATAATCTTTGAAAAGCTTGGTACCTCTTTTCTGGAGAGCCTCAGAAATTATTGAAGACTTAGCTTTGGGAGTCCTGGGGTGATGTAAATAAAGTTGACATTAGCTCATGGCCATTTGATTATAGGAGATTATAGGGGGAGATGGCAGTTCACTAGGGGGAGGGACTTGACATAAATGTCAGAGGCCTGAGCAATGCAGTTCTTTCCTAGGCTGACTAGGGACAGTGAGTTGAAATGCCCTGCTTAGCCGGCTCAGGATTCAGTAAGGTCGTGGGGTTGTGGGGGGAATGAGGAGGGCAGGTGGCCCTGGAGGCCACTGCAAGTCCCCCTCTGCCCTTGCCCAGAACCAGCAGCTCTGGCCTCACTGAGCCCACGTGGGCTCTCCCCACCAGGACCAGTTCACCTGCCCCGATGAGTATGAAGACCCAGCGGTTCTCTACGAGGCCATCCAGTCCTTCGAGAAGAAGGTGGTGATCTGCCACGAGGGAGACCCAGCCTGGAGAGGAGCAGTGCTGTCCAACAAGGAGGAGCTGCTGACTTTGAGGCATGTGGTGGATGAGGGTGCAGACGAGTACAAGGTCATCATGCTCCACAGGGGATTCCTGAGCTTCAAGGTCATCAAGGTGAGCCCCGTGCCCCTATCTACAGCCAGGGAGCGAGGAGGATGCAGTTGACACAACAGGTCCCTAGGTGAGAGGAGTGCTGGCCAGCAGTGAGAGAGAGGCGGGGTGGGGAAACAGCCTGAAAGCCTTGGTTCACTGTGGAGTTGTCTCCCTCCTTAGAGAACCAAATACACAATGAAGTTTTGTTTTAGTGTTTTTTTTTTCTTAAGTCTCTTATGTCTTCAGTTAATTGTGATATAGAACATGTGACCCATTGTCTCCAAGTTGGACATGCCTACTTCAAAGTTCCAGAACTTTCTCGTGATTCCTGTTCCTGGGTGTAAGAGCCCTTTCCCTCATACCCCTTCTATGATTGGAACTAAGAGAAAAAATCTGATGTCCCTGTTATTTTCCCTAAGTTCCCCTCCCATGAGCGTGATGACATTTTCAGAACTGAGACAACGCCCTTAGACCGAGCGTTACACCTCCAGAGTCCCTGTCCTAGTGAGACTCAGTCCAGGGATTAAACCCCAGACTGACAGCCAGGGGCCCTGAGCTCCTCCCAACCCCCACCCCTGCTTACAGGTGAACAAGGAGTGTGTCAGAGGACTCTGGGCAGGGCAGCAGCAGGAGCTCATCTTCCTGCGCAACCGCAATCCCGAGCGCGGAAGCATCCAGAACAACAAGCAGGTCCTACGCAACCTCATCAACTCGTCCTGTGACCAGCCACTGGGCTACCCCATGTATGTCTCTCCATTGACCACGTCCTACCTGGGCACCCACAAGCAGCTGCAGAGTGTCTGGGGTGGACCTATCACACTGAACCGTGTGAGGACGTGGTTCCAGACGAGGTGGCTGAGGTAGGACTTCCCAGAGGCCTCTGCCTGGGCTCTGGGGAGGAGGGTGTGGAGCTGAGCTCTCTGGGGCACAGCAGCATGATGGTGGTGGTCACTGTTGTCTTATATGAGTGAACCTCTGTGCCCAAGTGACTCCTGACAGGCCACCCACTCGGGGTGGACCAATGGGGAGTGCCATACACATACAGTCACTTTCCCATCCTCAGGCCCAAGTTGTGTCTGCCCTCTACCTGGTCTGAGAGAGTGTGGGTACTTTTATATTTTATCGTGTGTGTGTGTGTGTGTGTGTGTGTGTGTGTGTGTGTGCAGGTGAATGTGGAGGCCAGAGGACAACCTTGGATATCATCATTCTTTAGGTATCATTCATTAGTGTATGTGTGTGTGTGTGTTTGTGCAGGTGAATGTGGAGGCCAAAGGACAACTTGGGTATCATTCTTTAGGTATCATTCATCAGTGTGTGTGTGTGTGTGTGTGTGTGTGTGTGTGTGTGTGTATGTGTGTGTGTGCCTTTGCAGGTGAGTGTGGTGGTCAGAGAACTACCTTGAGTATCATTCTTTAGGTATCATTCATCAGTGTGTGGGTGCATGTGTGTGTGCATGTGTGTGCATGCATGTGCATGTGTATGTACATGCATGCATAGGTGCAGGTGTTTTCATACATGTGTGCATGTGTGTGTATACATGTGTGTATGCATGTGTGCACATGTACATGCATGTGTGTGTACATGCATGCATGAGTGTGTATATATGTGCATGTGTATTCATGCATGTGTGTGTGCATGTATGTGTGCATGTGTGTGCTCATGTACATGCACATGTGTTCGTATACATGTATGCAAGAGTGTGTACACGTGTTGTGCATGTGTGTACATGCATGAATGTGTGCATGTGTGTTCCTGTATATATGTGTGTGTGTGTGCACGTTGAGGCACACCCATACATGTGGCACTGAAAGGACAATGCTGTAGAGTCTCTTCTTTCTGATTTTTTAAAACAATGTCTCTCACTGGCCCACAACCCGCCAATTATGCTAGACTGGCTTTCCAGTTAGCCCCAGAGATCTGCACCTACCCAGCACGGAGATTACAAGTGCACACCACCACACCCAGATTTCTGACATGGGCTTTGGAGGTCATATCTGGTCCTCAGGCTCACACTGCACAGCAAGCGCTTGTCTGGCTGAGCCATCTCCCAGCTCTCGTGGGTATTTTAAAGTGACTGACTGCTGGAGAGAGCCAAACCTTCCGGCATGTCCTTCAGTGCTGTCTTCTTTCCATTGTAATGATGACCCTCAGATTGCTGGGGACATCCTAAATGTTGCCTGAGTGTGCCTGCACTCCTGATGGGTTCCTATGGAAGGTTCAGGCTGATGCTTCTTCATCCTGGCATGCTTATTTGTTCATTATACTCTGAACCTCTTCCTCTCTTGCACTCCAGGAGTGCTGTCTACCTGGAAAGAGTGCCCGTCCACTCAGTTCACTCATGGCTAGGGTTGGGGATTGGCAGTATAGTTGGGTGTCACTTCCAATGGGGATCCAGTCGGCAGAACATCAGAGCTGCAAGAACAAGCCACATCACTTGGTGTCACAATCTTATGAAGTCACTGTCTCAACTGGTGTCACTGTGTGGCACATGACTGTTGTAATTTATTAAAATCGGCCTCTGGCTCAAGCCGACTATCTAAGCTGTGGCGGCTCTGTCTAGCTCAGCCGCCATGTTCTGTGGCCAGAGGCCACTTGCGCACAGCAGCTAGAACTGGCACGCCAGAAACACCAGCCCTGTCACCCACGAGACACCAACGTGGGAGATGGCTCTGTCAATCTTCCATGCTTCTCTGCAAGGCTGGGCAGTGCCCAGACCATTCCGCCATCTATGCGGGCCCAGTAAGAGATGAGACTCTAATTCTTATAGATTAATCAAAGGTTTTATATGATTGGTAATGATTAATAACAAGATGTCCATACAAAGAGAGTTGTATCTTAATTAACTAACCTAATTATAAGTTGTTCCTCACGACTGCTCTCCATACCTGTGTGATTCTCCATCCTCCTACATCTCTGCTCTCTCCAGCTCCTCCTCTTCCTTTTCCGCTTCCTCTCCTAAGTCCTCCCACCTTAGCTCCTCCTACACGTGACTGCATGACAGATGTGTTGGTGAGACCCTGAAGCTCCCCTCTCTCCCCCAGAATGAGAAAGGACTGTAGTGTGGGCCAGCGGAGTGGTGGCAACATTGAAGATGGAGACGGAGCCGTACCTTCAGCGGGTGGCGGTAACGCCCCTAATGGCGAGAGCCGGGACAGCAGCACAGAACAACCCAGGAAAGGAGGCACCCAGCAGTGGGCCTCACCCCATGGAGAGGCTCAGAGGGCAGGTGAGTGCCCAGGGCCACAGGGCCGACATCTAATCTCCAGGGCCTCTGCTGTAATCACGGCACATAGGGTCAACGGCTGTAGCTGTTAAAAGAGGTGCTTTCTGGCTGTCTGGGTCCAGCTTTCATCTACCCGTGTGTCCATTACCTTGGGCAGCCATTTGTGTGTCTGACTCCTTGCCACTCACTCTGTCTCTCTCAGTGCTGCTCCACTGTATGTATCTTGGGTATGGCATGTTGGAGCCAGGGACCTAGGTAGTGTCCTTTTCTGTTTGTAGGCAGTCCTCTGCTC